TAACTTTGATAGATTTTCTTACATAAGCCATACATAAATTATTTTTTATGAGGTCACAAAATAAAATAACATTAAGTTTTCAATTTTGAACTTTTGAGATTATTGGTCAAAACACATATCCTTTTTCAATACTAAAAGGCTTTCTGCATTGTTTTAGTGTTTAACATATAGTAAATTTAATTTTGAAAATTTTGAAGTTTATGGAAGATGAAATTATTGTAATTATAATTAATATGGTCTTATCAGAATAAAGCATTCACAATGTTGAAGGCTTATAATTTGTAAAGGGTTTTTCACAAGATAATCTTTACATCTGAACACTCTTCAGTTTAAAATAAGCAATGGATCCATTTTCAAACAATTCTTAGCATAAAAGAAGAAAGAGTAAGAAATACAGAAAACCAAGTAAGCATTCCTTATCATTTTTTCTTTACAAGTTTCAACATTCACAAAAATCTAAGTCCTGTTTTAATATCCCCACCTCCAAATTACTAAGTTTACGATGACTCTCCTTTCTCTCTCTTCAGTTCTAGCAGACTGAAATGGTTAGTAAACAAAATCTAAAATCTACTGAGACTATTGCTAAGGAAACTATAGAGCAACTAAAGCAGTCCTCTGCAGTCATTCAGTTATTTATTTCTACTTTGGCCAAAATCCTCATATGAAGCTTTTGTCCAGGACATGCAGACAGACCAGATTCAAGTATACAGAAAAGCAGAATAGGTTTAAAGTGTTTTATTGGAGAAAAAAACAGATTTAAAAAAAATTAAAATAAAACAGATACAGAATGACTTGATGAATATTCAGTTTAAGGAAGCCAAGCTTTAGAAAAGCAAGAATCCAGTAATAAAACTGTCAATGGTGAAGATAAAAAAGAGATTCATTCTTTGTCCTATTCTGTAAAAAGTCATAATTATGTAAGCAAGCAGCCTTAGCAAGCTGCATTTATCTATGATTTTTATTAAAACATGGTAAACTTCATAGAAATTCTCAGAGTTCTTGGTGAAAATACATCTGCAAATATATTTTGCATTTTTGGCAAATATGAAAATATTTATGATTGTTTAAATGCATCGGTTGTAATTTCTCACTATATATATATATATATATATATATATATATTGCACTCACACATTTATTCATATATTTCTTTATCAAAAATAGAGATGAAGTATAGCTGAGCAAGAAGTTTCTTATTGTTCTGTTATTTGATTAAGATAAGAAGAAAACCTTTTATGCCAATGTTACAATTAAAGAATCTTCTAAAATATTGTAAAGTCTTGCTGTTTAAACTTTACTACTCTGTACGTAACTTCATTTGCTGTACAAAAAGTTTATACTACCACTGAAGCTGACTCTGATCCCATTAGTGTGTTTGAATTTCATAGTTGTCTTGTCATATCCTCCTAAAACAATTTTGAATGAAATTGACAATAATGATTCTGTAAATGAGAGGCCTTGAAAAAGAATGCAGTGGAAAGGGAGCTAATATTAATTATGCAGAGTAATAAAGGTTAAGGAGGTTTAGTGACCTCCATAGTTGACCTTTCACTACAAATACACAGTAAGTTTTTACAATATTATAGAGTGGACTCTAATTCAAAATTTTAAAACTTACTGTTATTTTATTTTTTACCCCCATTACTTGTATAAAAATGCAGATTACAAAATAAATTTCTAAACTTGCCTTGATAAAGTTCATCAAGAAATAAAATACATTGATATAAAAGGTTTTCCTCTTGTATTTTCTTTTATTTATATTGTCTTTAAATATATTCATATCTGAATATATATATATATATATATATATATATATATATATATATATATAAATATATGAATATATATATATAAATATTCAGATATGAATTGAAGTTTTATGATCCAAACTGAGTGAATATATATATATATATATATATATATATATATATATATATATATATATATATTCATTTCATTCATAACCTAAGGATGGAAAATATTTATTTTAGATAATATTTTTTACTTTTCTGTCAATCTCCTTTCATGTCAGTACCCTTAATTCAGTAGTGAATAAATCAAACATTATGCTGTGAACATTTCTAATCAAAATTTAGTTAATTAGGTTATGAACTTATTGATCCACTCTCATATACAAAAAGTTTATAAATAACTGACAATAAGTTTATAGGAATTGTGTGTTTGTATGTATATGCATGTGTTTGTACATATGAGAGAGAAAAAAGCACATATATATAGAATATGAAAGTCTGCATAATTTTGTGTGTATGTATCTATGTATGCATACATATGAGAAACATTTTATAGAAATGTTTATATTTGTGTTTATCAGATTATTGTCCAGCTTAAAATAGTCTAACATATGGACACAATAGTAGAGCACTTAGAGTAAATTGATCTCATTTACAATGACTAAAACTAGTAATATTTTATCAGCTCTGTATGGTAATGTTCAAAGAAAATAAATTATATAAATTTAATCACTGCAATTGATATTGTATTAATAATTTGTTTTAGTCAATATATGCTTTTTAAAAAAAACACTTTGTAGATATATTATACTATCAGAATGAAAGTGAATTTACTACAGATTTAAAGAGAAAGTCACTGGTATTCAATACAACAACCATCACTTGTTTTAGTGACTATTTACAAATATTTAATTGGATTGAAATACAAACACAATATCATTCATTTTCTGCCAAGGATCACTGAATAAAATTCTCATATAAGGGAAAACAATTGGCTATAAATATAAGTTTTTATTTTAGTACAAGTTATTTAGTTGTTTATCTGTAAATAAATGTAAAAGTTCAAGTTTAGAACAAGGCACAATTAATGAGAACAGAAATATTAACAAAGAATAAAGAGAAAAAGGAAAGAAGTTTTACAAGAGGCAAAAAACTTACACTATTTTTCTCTTTATAACATTGCAACAAAATAAGAACTGCCTTATTTTAAGTTTTAAAAATTTATGAAATTCTATCAAATGATAATGTCTAACATATTAAAATTGTATACTTTGTGTCTGAAATAAGTATTTAAATAAAATTGAATTAACTACTATTTCTGTCCCATAATAATGGTTACATTTGTATACATACTTCATACCCTTAAAGTAACAACTATTAGGAGACAGATGCAGTATGTTTGAAAATTTTATGATTTGCTATTTTAGAGAGATTTTCAATTTCATATATTGATCCCAAGACACAACATACTCTAATGTTTCTAGGCCATTTCACCATTGAGTAAGGGTTAGTGAGCTAGTGGTTAGTGACAAACCATTACTACTTTGTAGTGAGTTTGACCCGCAGTGGTTATTCCACAATTGCAATATTGTGCAAGTTTAATTTGGGCAGTTGGAGTACAATGGTTTTCTTACTGATATGAGTGATCATCACTGGATGCCCAGCTATTATTAAGATAAATAGGTTTCTGTAATGTCAATATAATGAACTAGAGAGAAGTGTGTGTATTTGTGTAATTAGTCCAAGGCCTTTGAGAGTTCAAAGGGGGCTTGTGAATGTTAGCATGGGCTGAAAAATAGCATTTACATTTTGTATGTGTTGGACAAAAACAAGTTGATTAATGAAGAAAGAAAAGAGGTGCTACAAGAAACATTGTACCTCCTGAAAGGATTCTACTTGGAGACTTTGAATTGGTCTTTATCAGTTATGTTGAGTAGTTCTTGCCTCAAAGAAGAATTTTAAAAAATTCTGATGTTTGGTTAACTGATCTGATTTGGTGAAGTTGACAACACCCTATATATGTCATAAATCTTTTAAAATATTATAAAAATCAAAATTAAATTGTAAATCTAATTAAATTGTCTGTTTACTCATCTTAAAGTTGTTCTTAGATAAAGAATGTCTGCTGCTGAGTAAAGAAGAATAAATGACTTTTAAAGTAGAAACATCAGGAACTTTGGGGTTTTAGAGATTTTAAATAAAATAAGAAATAAGAAATTAGATAAGCAGAAAGAAATCTTACACTGGCTTTAAAATTAAGATTCACTGAGTGCAAAGCAAAAAGCTTAAGCAATATAACACCAATATATAAATTTTTACATTTCTTCACCCTTCTTTATTTCTATATAAATTGCTTTTGCATAAACCATCTGTACATTTGATCATATATTAATCATGTTTGCCTTTGATGAACTTATTTCTTTTGTGCCTGTGAGCAGAAATGTTCATATGAGTTTTCCTTCAGTTTTCCTTCTTATCATTGGACCATGTAAGTAAATGCTTGTCTACAGTAAATTCATTGTAATTAGTATATCATGTGAAATTTTGGCAGTTTTGTGAATTTACTTTCATTTTTCTCAATGCCACCAAAAAATCTCAGCATGTGTTTCATTCTAATCGCTCTACTTTCATTAATAAAACTATTCAAAATTTATTAAGTTTCTTTAAGGTTATAAGCAAAGTTTCTAGCTTGTGGCAACATTGGTACAATGTCCCTGGAAAAATGATTTTAATCTTAGATAGTTGTTCTGCAAAGTTTTATCAGGAGAAAAGAATATATACACATTGTGGCACTTGTGATGGTTAATATGCTTGTCTCAAAGACCATTGATAGGGTAGTGAAGTTGATTCATATTAGGTGTCTAACTATTGTGGCCCCAAGCTTAAACAATTGCAATAACTTCAGAAATATTTATGCTATGTTAATATTTATATAATATTAAATGTCAGTTCTTCTCCAGTTTTTTTTTGGTGCTGCATTTTGGATTCAACCAAGACAAGCAAATCTGACAATAACAAAAATAAAGAAACTTCTTGCAGAAGATAAATCTAAATCTGATATGTCATGCAGAAAAGTAGTTCTTTAAAAGGAAAAAAAGAAAGACCACCAAAAACAAGAATAACACAACTTCACTGAAATAAACAAAAGAAACTCCTTTCTAGTAAAGCTCTATAATATATAAAACAACTACTGATAGCCATGTTGAGGTTTTCAAACAAATGGCTTTTCCTAAAGCCACAAATACTAACCAAAACTGTCATTGGAGGAGCCACCCATCTCACAAAATTCACCATGGTAAGGGGCCCTGCAAGCACAAGTGAATTTGCCATTAGATTTTTTCAAACAGTAGCCATCATTTTGACATGGATTTGAGTCACATGGATTTTTCAAGGCACAGTTGGCATCATAATGAACTGGTTTATCACGTCCATAAGAGTGATTGGGACAGGTACATCTGTAGCCACGTACACTGCCTGGTTCCGGTATGCATGTCCCTAGAATGAGAAAAAAAACAAAATGGTTAGAAATCCTGTCTGAAGATAGAACAAAATTACTTCATCATTTGATATTACAGGGAAATAATAAATGGGTGAAAAAAAAAGTGTTTCCCAGGATCATAGTCCCTAAAATTTGTAGCAACAATCCCTTAATTACCAGGTTTACCTTGGGATGTAAATGGGATTCAAAGCAGATAGTAGAAATCATGGTTTTTCTCTTTTGACCATATTTATCTATTCTATAATAAAGTACATTCATCTGTGTGTATTTGTGGCTGGCTTATATAAAAATAAATAGTTCATCAAAACCATCCTTGGAATAAACTGAATTAGAATGTATATAATTTTAAGGGTTCAAATTTTATAGTTTGGAAGACATACAGATAAAAGATTTAAAACTCAGTTAACAATTCTTTTCCTAACATAATTATCCAAAAAGTTCAGTATGTAAAAATGTAAAAGTGCTTATTTATCAAATTTAATATAACATAAAATTATCTCTCTTCCTACTACAATATCAGAAAAGTCCACTACATACAGATAAGTATTACACATAAAAAATATATATGGATACACACACAAATATATATTGGGTTGGAACAAAATGCACATCTTTTTTAATAGGTGTCATTTGAACAAGTAGTTTTGTTTAACATATGATGGCAATTTATGTCCTGTATCCATATTTTGAAAAGTGACATTTCTTTCAGCATGTCTTTCTTTATGATTTGTATATGGACTGTGAATGTCAAATATTTTTACATTTATGGTTAAATGGAGGAAAATAAGATTCATTTTTGTGGTTTGATGTTTTGTTTTATTTCTGGGAAGGAAAAAACATAGTACAAACAGTAAAAAAAAGATTTGTGCCATTTATGGAGATAGAGCCATAACAGATTACTGTTTATCTATCTATATTTCTGAAATGAGGTATTGTAACTATTTATACTATTTACATTGTTTGGATTGTTGTCCTCATCTTTACTGTCACATTCACAATGTTGTATGCTCTAGCCTTCTTCAGGTGATATTTGTTGGAATTTTGAACTGAACCCTTTATTTAGTTCAGTGGGTAGATTGTTCTAATTCCATGTACCATGCTTTGGATATCTCAGTTTTAGTTAATTCACTTTTGTTCTTTCCGCTGAGGCCAGGGATTGAACTCACAACTCTCTGGGTCAAGTCACTTTTTGAATAAAAAAGATGAGGAAGGCTGGAATGTACAATGGACAAAACATTGTGAATGTGACAGTAAAGATGAGGACAGCAGTGCAAACAATGTAAATAGTGTAAAGAGTACTGTTCATGGAAATTTTGATCTTGAAGCATGAGAATGTTCCAGCAGGGCTGCAGTCATTAATGATAACCAATTCAAAATACTAATTACAAATAATCCCAGCCACATCATACAGGACACTGCAGAAACACTACACACATCTCATATGAATGTTATAAAGTACCTGAAAACACTTGGATATGTAAATCCAATTTAATGAACCACATTTCCATCTGTAAATTTCTGCACAAATACAACAAAAACAATCCACTTTTGAAAAGAACAATCACAGACAATGAAAGATGGTTTACAACAATGTCTAAAGTTTTCTCTACTCCTCAAATAAAAAGAAGCTGGATCTTTCATCCATTGCTGGTGAATAAAAGCAAAGTTCTCTCACCCTCAGATTTAAATGCAAAAAATGAACACAATTATTGATTGTAAATTTTTTGTCATTAAATATTACAGCAAATGGAACACAAACAGCAGCGGTAGATTTTAAAGCAGAAAAATTTTTTATGTGCCCTGCTCTATTTTACACTATCACCAGGTTATTGGGATGTAAACAAAAAATAATCAGATATTGTGGAGTTGAATTAAGAACTTTCAGCAATTGTGATAAGAATTAGACAGTCGATTATCAATTGTGAAACGGTCTTCATTATTATAAAGCTATCAGGAAAATTGTGACTCTTGACATGTCTATTTTTATAGTTAACAAACAGACTTTTTCTTTTATATTTTTCATATATGCAAGCAATTTTTTACATTTCCTGCCTGATTTTCTGCCTATCTGCAGTAAATTTCAGTGAGCACCTGAGCCAAATCTTTAAGTACAAGGCTTGTTAGTCAACAAAAGAATAAATTGTATCAAGTGCTGGACATGTATGACCTTACTTGCCTACTTACAAAAGCAACTAAGAATGGTGTTAAAAATGATTTCATCAGTCTTTTGTCCTCCCAACTACTAACAAAGTCATCATGTTCTGAGATATTTTTATGAAGTCAAATTTTCTCAACTTCACACAAACTTTCTTCAAATGGAGGACATAAGAATGCCAGCTGTTTGTGTATCCTACTCACTCATTTCAAAAGGGTTTCTTTATATGATGACAGTTTTGCAAACTTGAAAGTGATTTGATTCTATTCTGGATGAAACCAATAAATAGGATCTTCAGTTTGAATGAGATTGAAAAACACACACACAGAAAAAGAGGGTGAGGAGAAATATTTTCATTTTCAGAGAATTAAAGAGATAATTAGATACAAAAGCATTGGTTGAATAAAGTCATACTTGCACAAAACTGAATTTTTCATACACAATCAACCATTGAATTTACAGTGATGAACACAAAAAAATTACATATTCATATACATAAGATTAATTTTAACATTTCCTATCTGATTTTCCACACACTGCAGTAAATTTTGGATACAATCTTTTGTATAGTAGGGCCACCACCCATGAAAGATTTGGTTGGATCAGATTAAGTGCAGAATTTTGATCTCCTTGCCTGACCTACTTGCAACAACAACTAACAGAACAGTGTGGGAGAAGATGACTGCTTTTTCAGTCTTATGTCCCCATGATGAGTAAAGAAAACCATCATCATTTTCTGAGACACTTTTATGAAGTTGGGTTTTCTCAACCTCCTCTTCACACACACTTTTTTCAAACAGAGGCCAGGGGAATACGGCTCTCTGTGTATCCTACCTGCTATGATGTGAAAGTTTCAAAAGGGTTTATTCACATTGCAAATTTGAATTTGATTCGATTCTACACTCGATTAAACCAACAAATAGGTTTTTCCATTTGAGTGATATGGAAACAGATATATATATTCTTTCATTTTCATTCAGTTAAAGGAACAATTAGATACAAAGACATTGTTTAAATAAAATCATGCTTACATAAACTGGATTTTTCTCATGAAATCTATTACAAAATTTATTCTTATGAATACAAAAATGATATTTTGAAAACCTTTTGCAAGCCCCACTGGGTAGTCTTATGGGTTGCATGTGGCCCATAGGCTGTATTTTGTACAGACCTGGTTTAGAACTTTCTATTTGTTCTAATATGTGTTCTACATGATGAAATGAGTGATCGAATTTGTTATTAATTTTTTTCTTTCAGGCTCTCCCCATTTAACAAAAGAAAAAATGAAAAGCATTAACATAGTTGTAATAAAAATTCCTTAACTTACCATCATTTAGACAAGGAGAAAGATCACAATTAGGCTGGAAGGCAACATCACAAAACTCCCCTTTCCACATTGGCTGACAAACACATTTGTCTGGTTTACCACGTCTAGACTTACATATTCCACCGTTTTCACAAGGATTCATAGATTTGCAGTTAATAGTTGAACTCCTTGGATTCGTGGAGCCACTTTTGTTTTCACATGTATAGCCTTTCTTAGCTGGCACACAGGTAGTGCTGTTGCTACATCGGTTATTGGCAGGGCAAGGTGTTAGCTGGTCAGCACAGGTTGGACCTAGAAGATATAACAAAGAGCATTAAATAAAAGCAGAAATAAGAATAATTTAGTAAAAATGAATGGAGTTATTAATTAGAAATATAATTCAAAAGAACTGTATGAAGAGATGCCTAATACTTAACAGCACCAAAAATGGAATCAAGGAGCTGGGTTCAAACTCCAGTTGAAGCTTTTGGTGTTTTTGTTTTTTTTTTCAAGCAGACAGAAAAAGTAGGATTCTCCCAAACTTCACATCTTTCTTCAGCTGTGGCTTAAATAGCAGCACAGACTGATAACCAGTCTAGAAAAAGGAAAACTCTGAATTCAAAACCAGGAGTAGAATCTACTCCTCTGTTGTGGGTAGCAAAATAGCAAAAGGTATAGATAAGTTTACCCTTTAAGAAGCTACTTGCTTAAATATAATTAGGCTACAAGTTGAAGGATTAGATCCAAAATAAAAACAATGATATAATAGATATTCACACAGTTTAATTTAGTACAAATTACAGGATTAGTGAGTAGGTATTGTACCCATCTTTCATGTAAGAAAGTTATGCATATCTTGAAAATCAGCATTTGAAACTTTGTTCTTTTTACCTGTGCTCAAACAAGGACCACTGGTGTTAGTAGGAAACAGTTGTATAATGATGATAATTTGGATATTACTGAAGGTGCAGGATTCCATGCATGACATCCATATGAGAGTCTAGATATGATGAGACTATTTAAGAATATGACCCAACTTTTCAGGTCAATATTTTGATCTTGTAGTATCTTGCATTGTTGGACAAAATCGCCCTTAGTGCAACCTATTTTTTGTTCAATTTCCTTTTATCCTAGAATGAATTTGTTTTAACTGTTTCAAATTTATTAACTCCACATTTTTTTTATGATGGATTTAAGCTATTTGCCCTCATTACTCTCATTCCAATTCCAGATCATAGTTTCTCTTTTGGAAAGGTTTATCTTAAGTTTTACTTCTTGGAACAAATAGTACAGAATGTTAATTTTTTTTTTGTCCAAGATCATCCTTATACCAATTATGAATACCTATAGCATCAGCATAGTTACTCTCATTGTTAGTACATTGGCCTCTGGATGGAAAACAAGAACACTGTTTGCTATTAGTAGATTTATTTGTGATGTGGTATGGAATCTTTAGATAATTTACGCCCAGTTCTTCACATCTAGTCTAAAGAGAGAATAAACAGATTGGTACTTTTGCTTCCTCTTTTTTATACTCCGGAATTAAATTTCTGAAGTCACTATTGTATTATTTACTGTTTAGCTGTTACTGTTTCAAAATGCATAGGCTGTCCCAGAATGGCAAACTAGTGATCAGAACACTGATGATCCAAACTGAGTTGGGATAGTTTGAACTCCATGGGCATGGAATTGTGACAGTGATTAATTGTTTTTGTTTCATTTTTAAAGATAAAAAATGCACAAAGTAAGTATGGTTATGAGAATGGCAGAGTGAAGACACCTCACCATCAGGAATTTTTCTGACCCAACCAGATACAAGAGTCTTCTTGAAATAAGGATGGTCAGATCAATTGTTTTTTGTTGTTGAGCTTATAGAAAAATTTGGCTTGATTATTTAAAGAAATACCATGTCTACCATTACTATGGAGCTGAAAGAAAACCTAATCTGGTCCAAATACAGTTTTATTCCCATTTACTATTTGTATCAATCAATGATAATTAATTGTTGGACTCTTAACAGAGGACAGAAAATGTGACACTGAAATCTGAAGGCATATTAGAATAGCAAAAGATGCCTTCCACAAGCTAAGCAAAGCATTAAGAAATAAGAAAATTTCATTAGAAACAACAAAAAAGTGTTGAACTGTTATATAATATCAGTCCTTTCTATATGGCAGTGAATGCTAGACAATCTCCTCACAGATGAAGAGGCTTGAGGCAAATGAACTGGGATTCTACAGAAGGATGCTGAGAATATCATGGACTGAACATGTGAGCAACATGGAAGTTTTAAGGATAATAGAAACAAAACGGATGCTTATAGTTAGTATCAGAAAGAAACAATAGAAATTTCTAGGACAGATAATGGGAAAGATGGCTTTTAGAATTTGACACTCACAGGACATTGACGGCAAGAGGAACAGAGGTAAACAGCGAGTAACTTACCTAACAAGCTTGTGTAAATGGAACAGGAAGGAATAGTGAAAAAGACAAACATTACTAAGAACAACAAAGGATAGGAAGTTGTGAAGAGCCATGATAATCCACTTCATGATGGAACATGGCACATCAAAAATGAAGAAGAAAGTCTTTGAAAGTTGGTGACTTGCTAAAGCCTTACAGATTTTTGATAACCTTCACTGCCTGTATTACAAAACAAATCATCAGTGAAAAGCATAACATTGTGCTTATGAATAACCTTATTGTACCTTATTGTGTTAGGTTCAGCAATTCTTTTCAATGAGGTCAGAGCATCTCTTGTTTCAAGGGATATGCATATACAATAAGAGAATCAAATGCATTTTATTCTGTTGTTACTGTATAATTTAATCACCATGACAACTGACTTAGCACTCAAACTATGTAGGTAGATTCAATTTAATAAATCAACAAATAAACAAGAATAAAAATAAAATACTTACCAGAGAAGTTTACAGTGCAGAAGCAGGTGTAGTCATAAGGATCAGGACCATCTGTGCACTGGGCTCCATTGAGGCATACACCTAATGTGCATTCATCAATTGCTTCATCACACTCAGGACCCTTGTAGCCATACATGCATTTATTACACTCATAGCCACCAACCATATCATTGCAGAGTTTGTTCTGACCACATTGGAACACAATTGGAAACAGACACTCATTAATATCTGAAAATAAAGAAAATTTGTTTAGAAAAGACAAAAAAAGGAAGGGAGTATTTTGCTTGAAAATATTTTTAGTTCTCTTCTGAGCAGTTTAAGCTTAAGTTTATGAATAACTCACAATTTCCTTTCTGACGGGCAAGGTTAATTTATTTATTGTGTGTTAGGAGATTTTAACTCACTTTTTATATAGTAACTTTTATATATAATTAATAATAATAAATAATATCTGTATATATATATATATATATATATATATATATATATATATTTGTTTGTGTGTGTGTGTGTGTGTGTGTGTGTGTGTGTGTGTGTGTGTGTGTGTGTGTGTAATGTGTCTACAATTACATTTTTGAAAGACTATATAAATTTGCAGAAAACTCCAAAGGAAATCATGAAGCACACATTGGGTAACACATGCCCATGGGAAGAAGTGTATGTTAAATTCTAGTATGGAAATTGTAGTTCCAGTCTTTAAGAACTCAGACAAACTAATCTTTCTAAATACCAGCCTAATAGCTCTCTATCTCTTTTTAGCAAAGTAATATAGGCTCTAATCAACTCCAAATTGGTTAAGCACCTCATAGGACTTTCTTTCAGACAATCAATATGGCTTTTGCTTCACTAGGTCGGCTGTTAATGTATTAACTACTATTGCTGTAGATAAGTATGGTGAAGCTAGGGCTGTTGCTTTGGATATCTCAAAGATGTTTGACAGGAATTGGTATGTTGGTCTTCTCAAGTTAAGAGATTATGATATTTCTGAACAAATTTTTGATCTGATTCAATCAAAATATTATGAAATCATGAAATTAAAGTTGTCTTGAATGGCCACTCCCCTTTTTGCATTAATGTGGATGTATCCCAGGGTTCTATCCTTGAACAAACTTGATTTCTTATCTATATCAATGACTTTCTCAATGTCATCAATTCCCATCTAGGTATTTATGCAGATTACATAGCTATTTACTCCTGTTTTAATGGTAAGTCTGATCAGTACAAGGTCAAATTGGTAGCTGATCTAGAAAATGACCTATCATGTATTGTTAACTCAAGCAAGAAATGGCTTGTTAATTTTAACACTCCCAAAACTAAACTGCTCTCTTTTAATCATCTTAAAGAACCTTTTTTTATCTTCCATCAGCATGTAAGTGACTCACTGCATCTTGCTAGGAAAGTTGGTTCACTGTGTTGTGCTAGACAATTTTTCTTGACAGAATCCATCTTGCACATTTGAACATGCATAGGATATCTGGTCTGGAGCTTCTGCTATGCATTTAGAAATTATTGATAAAATCCAAAGAAGAATCTGCAATGTTACTGATTCTGACCGAGTTTCTCAGCTTCAGTTACTTTCACATCACCATAATGTAGCTTCCTTGTGCTTTTCTATAAATATTCTATAGTAATTCTTTTGGTACCTCAACTATATGAATCTAAGTGCAGTGTTAGATTGGAAGCTTGGTCTCATCATTTTACAGTTGAATGCTAACAGTTTCTTCTCTCACATTTCTCACTTTTGGAACTCCTTTTTGGCATCTTTGATTTTCAAAAATTTAAATGCAATGTTAATTGTTATGTTTTGTGTTCTTAATTTTGGTTCTTTTATTGTTCTCTCCTTAATGTCTTTCTTTTTCTCATATTTTTTTACACTCAGTAACCCCTTGTGTTGTAGTGGCTGTATTGTCTTGCTTGGGGTGAAATGATTAAAAAATCTAAAATGCTGTATGTTTTTGGAAGCATTCAATAATGTCAACTCCTGAAATTGTTGATCATGTTTATAACCTAATTTATGACCACATGAATTGCTGAGGAACTAGAGATATTTCTATTGACTCTGTGTTAGTCAAGTAGGCACTAAAACGATTGAATGCCAAGCAGGCACTTCCAAATTGAATTTTCAGCATTTTTCAGTGATATTTAGGAATGATTTGTCATTGTTGATGACATGGTTCCGTCGTCTCTGATCTAGAGACCAAACAATGGTCCATGCAGTGGTAGCACTTGAGTCCTCCATAGCTGAAAAAATCCAAGAGACTAAAACTGATAGGAAAGGTCATGGGCATAATTAGGGGGAGGGGACAATGTAGATATTTTCATGACTGACAATTTCAAACACTTAAAGCAAAATGATAAGTTGATTACAGGCATTGTTGAAAGAAAAACATTGAGAGAAGCTGCAGAAAGGTGTTTTCTTTATTTGTTTGCAGGATAATACACTTAATCACAGGGTTGGCAAGATGAATGTCTTGAAGAATTTAAGTTTGAGTGCATCAAGCATCCATCTTGCACCAACTATTTCCTGTTTCTCAATCATAAACAGAGTTTGAAATGAAAAAAAAAAAACAACTTTCAAATGATTTGGAAGCTATAGCAGCAACAGATCAATGAACAAACAGAATATATAATTTTTTTAAGAGTTAAAAAAAGTTAAAGAACAATAGGCTGAACAGCAGAGTGAATATGAATAATAGCATACATGTTTCATGGCTCTAGGGGATTTCCTTCTAGGTTGGGTTGAGAACTTTTTAACACTTCCTCCTATAATATCTATTATACAACAGAGGTAGTATTGTACAGTGTCAGAGTTTATTTACATAGCACTAGACAAGGGATGAGTGTGTCTTATACATATGTGATTGAGTACATACCAAGGCAATGAGAATTATTCCTTATATGAACATCTCCCCTGGTCCTAAGAGGTACTTGACTCCAAGCAAGAACATTGCCAAAAGCTGTGTTACATTTTGAAAAGTTACCCAAGGTTCTTATCTCCATCTCAGTGAGCACATGGTTGTAGACATTGAATTGACTTAGCTCACCCACAAAAGATTCAACAATGTTGGCAGCACCAAACAAGACATTTGCATCTTGTCCTAAAGAGAAACAATACAAAGAAAGAATATATTAAGTATATATTATAGATGTCATTAGGTTATGCATGCAATAGTATTTCCTAAATATAAGACTAAAAATAAAATTAATGAAAAGAGTACCAATTGATCATTAGCCTTGTTCCCTTGCTATAAGTAAAAACAATCATATAATTAAGTTATATTTAAATATATCTTAATTTAAATGTTTATGATTACTCCATTCTGCCAGCCTATTTTTTAACTTGTCAAATCCCAGAAAAAAAATCTTTTCTGGATCACCCTGTTGACTTGCTTAATTCCTTTCTTTCCCTCTCTCACTATCTTTCCCTTTCCCCTACCCATGTCTATTTCTCTTTCTCTTCCCCCTAAAAAACCTTATATTAAAATCTCTGCTTTCCTCACCCTTTTTTCTTCCCCCTTGTAATATTAAAACTTTTTTCTTTTTCTCTTTTCTGTCTCTTCTTTTTCCTTCTTTTCCTTTTCCTTGTGTCTGAATAAATTAAACTCCATTTACTTTTGCAAAACTGGTCTGAAGAGATGGATGTCTGAAGTTCACAAAATGAATTATCACCTGACTTGGTAGATTTTTAAGGATTCTGTATTCATTATTATATTGCTCTGTTCTTACTTTGAGCTCTCTTTGAATTTATATCATCCTTTAATTATCCTATTATCATCAAGTGATATTATATATATATATATATATATATATATATATATATATATATATATATATATATATATATATAAATGAAAATATATAAAAATAGGAAGGAACTGGTTAGGTAAATAATCAAAGTCCCTTAGTATTTTAGTTATTATTTTTAAAAAATAGTGCTCGATACAAAAAAGTAGAGCATAAATATAATTATTTATTTAAAATATGATTCCAAATCGCTACATAAGAGGTCTCATGTTTCAAAACAAGAGCCGAAAACTTCAATATAATCCTTTAAATTAAATTGAGTTTAAATTAAAATGGGCTCCGTTCCATCTTCAAGCGAAATTTTTTTTCTGTTGGAATAACGTATATCTGAAATTTACTTGTTTTAAAAATTGAAAAAAAATCAAAATTTGGTAACAGCAATGGCGAATTGTTTAAATTGTGTAAAAATTTAATAGAATCTATACGTAAAATGTTAATAATAAGTAGCAGTATAGAGATACTTTCAAGATGTCAAGTCGGGGAAAGGTGGGGGTCTCTAAAATTAAATGGAACATGTATTTTGGCATCGTCTAGTTTGTTTGTCTATGGAGATTTATTTATTTATTTTATTTTATTATGAAAGGGAATTGTGCAAATAAAAAAAAAAAAAAAAAAAACTTTCGTAACGTTTAAATAAAAAAACAACTGGAATTAAAATTATGGATCAATACTAAAGATGTTATCAATTGGTTTAACTATATTGATGATAAACGGAATTGCACCCTTATACAGTTTATTATATCGTGGATTACTTTGTATCAATTTCGAAGGATATATTTTTGACTGCCCTGGACTTTTTTGCTGTGTTATTCTAACCTAACAAAGGAAGAAATGGATATAATCCTCAAATAATCAAGAAATCGGTCCTCGTTCATAATGGGGACCAATGGATAAAAAACAATAACGACCTGTTTGACATCACTATGGGATCGTTAGACTCTGCAGAGTCTTCTGACCTCGTTGGTCTCCTTATACTGTACAACTTAACAGCACACTGCGAAATTGATATTAAGGACATCGGGCTGTATAGAGATGACGGGATCATGGTGGTGAGAGGAGTTCTACTTGTTTTAAGATTGAAAAAAATCAAAAAATTATATTTAGTGAATTTAAAAAACTAAACTTAAAGATTACTGTCTCTTCTAATTTGAAAAGGGTTAACTTCCTCGACGTAACTCTAGACTTACCAAAGACACATACCAACCTTATAGAAAACCAAATATAACCCTTTATACATACAATTTTAAAGTCAAACCATCCTCCATCAATAATTAAACATATACCCTCATCAATAGAAAATAGAATTAGTATTAACTCCGCAAACAAGGAAATATTCCAACAACACAATGGCTTCTATAACACTGCCCTAAAAAAAGTGGTTATAAAAATGCTAACATTAACTATAGAGAAAATTACACTGGCCATAGAAAAAAAAACAGGAAAAGAAATATCATTTGGTACACCCCTCCGTTCAACCAAAGGGTTAGTATTAAACTTGGACAGAAATTCTTAGCTTTAATTGATAAACACTTTAGGCCAATAGTAAACTTAGTAATATATTCAATAAGAACACCCTAAAATTGAGTTACAGCTGCTCTGATAATCTTGTACGTATAATAAAAAAAAACACAATAATATGATCTTGAACAAACCCCCATGCCAAAACAGTATTAATAAAAATCTGCACTTAAACCAGACGATAAAAGGAAAAAATTATGTAACTGTAGAAACCTAGAAGACTGCCCATTAGAAAATAAATGTTGCATTAATTTCTGTGGTATACCAATGTACTATTTCATCCACAGAGAGCCCTAGCACTAATATGATATACATTGTGTCCAAATGAAGAATAATTTTAAAGATAGATGGAGGCAGCATAAGTGCTCTTTTAATAATATAAACAAAAAGAAATCAGACTTCACTATCAAAATATTTTTGGCATTGAAGGAAACAAATAGAACACCAAAAGTTAAATGGAAAATCATTGATAAGGCTAGAATATGTAAAAAATTGGGATGACCCATGCCCTTTGTGCCTCCATGAAAAATTGCATTATTTAAACTTCTAAATAATAATAATCTATTAAATAATAGACACGAGTTAACGGTTTTTTGTAGGCATCATCAGATTTTTGGTTTGAATCATTAGTTAAAAAAAAAAAAAAAAATTTTTTTAAATTTATAATAACTTGTTTAACAAATAGCCCAATCTTCAGATTCATAGTAGGAATAATTAACTACAAACATGCATACAACATAACACCCTTCATAATCCATAGCCCAAATAAGTAGTTTAAATACCTTAAAAATAGATAACCCTTTATAATGTCGTCAAAAAAACAAACGTTACGAAAGTTTTTTTTTTTTTTTTATATGCACAAATCCCTTTCATTCATAAAATAAAATAAATAAAAAAATAAATCATCCATAAACAAACAAACTAGACGAAGGTTTATACATGTTTCCGTTTCATTTTAGAGACCCCACCTTTCCCCTGACTTGACATCTTGAAAGTATCTCTATACCGCTACTTATTATTAAACACCCTACACTCGCCTACCCAATTTAAACAATTCGCCTTTGCTGTTACCATGGAAATTTTGATTTCAATTTTAAAACAAGTAAATTTCAGATATACGTTATTCCAACAAAAATTTCGCTTAAAGATGGAACGGAGCCCATTTTAATTTTAAACTCAATTTAATTTAAAGGATTATATTGAAGTTTTCGGCTCTTGTTTTTTTAAACATGAGACCTCTTATGTAGCGATTTGGAATCATATTTTTTAAATAAATAATTATATATATATATATTGTTTAAATATTTTATATTTTAAATATTATAAATATATATTGAAGATAAAACATTTAGATATACACTGCATGCCAAATTATTATCGAGATAACTTTTTTCTAATATTTCAAAAACCGTCTAATCAATTCACACAAAATTTTCACACAATGTTGGCAACACTGATTTGCATAATCACTGAAATTCTCGTACTGATCTGCGCAATGTAAACAAACTGGTGCCATATTTGTTATCAGTACGGTGATTTGAGCGTGCCAAATTATTAGAAAGGTTTAGTAAAATTCCCAGAATTGAGCAAACAAAACGTTTATTAATGTTGAACGTGAATGTTTATGATCAAAAGAAGCTAATAAATAAGATAATCAAACAAATAATAACAGATACAAACAAAGGCACAGTTTTAAACAAATTAATAGGGAATGTGCTTTCCCTATTTTGAAATTACTTGAAAAGTCGACGATCCATAGAATTTGTTAATTGTAAAATGTCATCTGCTGTAATGCCGCGAGATATGTCAAGAATTGCTTCCCATAACTCAGCGGTGCTCCTGAATTGTCGTCCGTTGGCGTACAGTCTTCACTTCATGATGCTCCAATGGTTTTTGATTGGGTTCAAATCCGGAAAATGTGCTGGCCACTTCATTTTTCGAGGTCCATCGAAGCCTAACTGTTTCAAATATTCAGTAGTCTTGTGAGCAGCGTGTGAGGGAGCATTATCTTGTATAAAAAACAATGGCCCTTCTGAAAGCAACTCTTTGCCTTTTCATCCACGGTTCAAGATGCTCCTTCATAAATGCTATGTATGCATCAGCAGTCATTTTGACACCATCTGGTACTGTCCATGGGCCCACTAATGTGTTTCCAATAATACCACCTCAGATCATTATGCCTCCACCACCTTGTTGGCGTCTCAAACACTGATGGCGATTCTGTCCGTTCATTACCCAGCCTTTGCACCATCTGTCTGGCCAATCAAGTGTTGCTCGAGTTTCGTCTGTGGACAAAACTTTAGAGAAGTCAATCTTCATATTGTCCTCGGCTCATTTCAATCGATTTTTCAACGGAGGCTTCGATACAGGTTTGACTGTTGTTGCTATTTCCCTCAGATACTGACACTGAGTAATTTTAGACACAATAGGATCCCCAATACGACTGAAAAGCTCTTGACTGGTAAGTCCAGGGTTCTTTGTGGCCTCTCGTTTAAGTCGTGACATGAGACGACGTGAAATAACCCTCGGCTTGCCTTTATATGCCCTTTTATGTGTACTTGTGTAGTAGGGTCGGTGAATTTTTTCACTGTTTGATGACACTTCCCTATCATTTTAAAAATTTCTAGGGTAGATTTACTTTTTGAGAGTTCTGAGGTGATAGTTTTCTTTTTAGCATTACTTAAACTGCTTTTATGGCCCATCTTTTCACTAAATTCTTATACTTTTCTAATAATTTGGCACGCTCAAATCACCGTGCTGATAACAAATATGGCGCCAGTTTCTTTACATTGCGCAGATCAGTACAAAATATTTCAGCGATTGCGCAGGTCAGTGTTGCCAACATTGTGTGAAAATTTTGTGTGAATTGATTGGACGGTTTTTGAAATATTAGAAAAAAGTTATCTCGATAATAATTTGGCATGCAGTGTAGATACAGACAGGTGACTGTCATTTTTATGTCTCAATGATCTTCAGATCAAGTATATATGGATAAATTGCAATTTATATATGTGGATTATTATAAAATAAAGCTTTTGGACTCGTAATCTCATAATTTATGTAGGAATTTTTTTCAAAAGTTTAAGAGTACAGTGGTTGAAATATTATATAAAAACAATGAAGTTGAGGATACAAATTCAAAAGTATTATTGTATCATAATACATTTCTAAAAAAATTACTGATGTCATTATCATCATCTTTTAAATGACATGTCCTTTCAGGATTTGAGCAATTATGGATCTCCACAGATTCCTTGTCATTATTACTTGTGAATAGCCATGACTTCTTGAGGAAGATAGTGGAGTGGTTTCCTCTAACCTTCTCTACAGTTCTGAATTCAGAGTAGTTCTTTCTTTGACTGGCTGCCAACCAAGAATATAGAGTCTAGGCTAGCCTGTTATTTAAATTATAGCTGGGAGGAGAAGAAATGGATTCATTCTTTTCCCAAGGACATTTGTGTGAAAGTGAATGCAAAAGATCAAACAGGATCAAATTTGGCTCATTTATTTCACTTTCTAAGCTGATAACTGTTATGCTACGCTAACATCAATAATGACAGCAAAAATAATAAAAGAGGCATAATGATTAGGAAGCCTGCTCTGGCAAGTCACTAATAATAACTTCAGTCCTTAGAGAGTAACCCCCAAAAGGAAAATTTAAAATGACTCAGATCACAGAACTGGTCAAGTAAATGAGGATACTGAGAAAATTAGAAGAGACTTGCTGTCACTTGATTCCAAGAGATAATCACCAGATATGTCTAGTTTGAAAAATATAATAATAATAATGGTTATAGATAATTATTCTAACCGAATATTGTCAATTTTTTTACTAGTTGCAAATGGAAAAATGCCCTATACTTTGTTATTAAGCCTAAATTTTCTTATTAGGTAGTATTTTATAATTAGTGTTGCCAAGAAGATATAAAAAAGCACTAAATTCAATAGTAACAGTCTGTGAAAGTAGTTTACTAGTTTGACAAAGAAGTATTCATAGTATTCACTAAGCTTAGTATAGTCTCATGGAAGGCACCTCAATAGTAATGGTCTTTGAGATAAGGTAGCCATAGTATTTACTTAATAGTTTATAGTCTAGCAAAAAAAATGGTTTGAACCACCCAATGCGGATCAAACTGAGTTCAGTTGTAAGAGTCTGTGAAACTAGCATTCTAACAATGATAAATAATTTGATGGAAGAAAGAATTTTCTATTAGTCCAATTGACTAACAATCAAGAATATATTTGATCTAAAAAAAGTAAACTCTTGTAAATTTTAGCAAGAATAGAGAGCATTTTGGAAAGAAGAAATTTAAGTTTTCTGCAGTCCGTCTGCAGTTATTATGCAAATTACATAAACTTCAGAACTCAAATTTGCTCTGAAAATCATTTGTGAAATTATAGACAATTAATTTAAATGTCAAAACAAAGCTTGAGTTAAATTTTTAAGTAGTATCAACATGTTTTATTAAAGTTATTGGATTTATTCAAATCCAAATTATATTATTGAGGTTTATATGATTTGAATAATTTCAAACAGACTGTATTTGTAAAGGAACCTAAGGTAAGATATAGCAATAGAAAAATTTATTCTTGAAAAAGAAACACCTTTTATATAATTGTAAGAAAATAGAAAAAGGCTTGAATATCTAAAGTGTTATAAAAGAAAAATTCATCATTATGTACATGGCAAAAACTTAATATTCTTGGTAAATATGAAAAGACAACAAATTATATTTTACTTTGTAATTTAAGATTTTTTTATTTGAATCTTGTTCTAAATTAATTTTTAAAGCAATTATATATACATGTATATATTATTACATGAATATATTATTGAATAATCTTATTTTTGTGAGCATTCTGAAGTATATTACTAAAAAATATGGTACATGTAATAGAGTTTTTTTAATTTTTTTACTTGCATACAAACATAACAAGTCTGTATATTGCTAGTGAGTTAATATTTTAGTAACATCTATGAATAAAAAAATATTTACGAAGAAAAATAAATAATAAAAAAAAAAAAATTGAGAAAGTTTGAGTTGTGGAATAGAATATTTGAAAAAAAAAACATTGAAAAACAGCCACCATGATTTGGATTTTTTTTTTTATAGCTGCTTTTATTTTAGCATTTAAAAGTTCCAGATGATCAATTTAGCAGTTGTCTTAAGGTAAAGTTTTTATCCTATAATTTGTTTTTTATTGGATCTGCAATCCATGAAATGCAATTATCCAAGAATTAATCCTAATAACACATTTCCAAACAAATCAAACAGAATATGTTTCAACTTACCAATCAGAAAGTCTCCACCTGAAGGCAATTTGAATCCAGTTGCTAATCCTTGACCATGTTTAGCTTCAGTGCCATTAATATATAAATACCATTCCCCTTGGACACTGCTCCATGTTATACACAAATGATGCCACAGACCATCATTCAAAGACAAGCCAATAATCAAATGCTGACCATTGACAAATAACTACAATGAATAAACAATAAATGGTAAGTCTTTTTCCAGAAGGATCAATGATATTTTTTCATTTATTTAAACAAATAATTTTATTTTTATTGGTTTTATCTAAAAGAAAATGCAGTTAAGTGTCTAAGAATATTCTTCACTTAATTCAAAAACAATCTTGAGACTTAATTATTTCAATGACTGAATGAGTAGATCAAGCAAAGTCTTGTGGAGGATTTTGACAAAAATAGAATTATCCAAATCTATCAACACCCTCTGCAATCTAGATTTGTAGTCTTGCAACTTCTAGTGCATGAGACTAAAGAGGATGTGATGAGGCAGCTGATGACAACACCAACGTCAAGTATTCTCAGCCTTTTCAAGTTTACACACCTAGAGAGGACACTTCAATACCCCCTCAGTGTAGCAGCAAAACATGAGCTGAATCAAAACTCCCCAGATTTAGATCCATGGCCAAATTTATCATCTCTCAAGACTTCCACACAAATACAGACAATGATGCTGAAATATTTTCAACATGATCAAGACCAAAATGAGGTTGGATAATAGCTTGAATATTTATATATACTAGTAATTAGGGCATTATAGGTAACAAGGTCTGTCATATAAGTGACCTTCTATCAAAGCAGCAAAAAGTAATCCAGTATATATTACTAATGAAAAACCAAATATGTTCATGTGACCAACAGACAACTTGCCTAAATCCTAAACAAGAAAAGAAAAAAAGAAAGAAAGACCAAAATGCAACCACTGATCTACTCAGTAAAGCGCTCAATGTCCAGGTTACCCAGACAGAAAAAATCGCTTCACAAAGTCAAGACTTAACAAAAGACAGTCTGAGTCATCACTCAAGTTTCATGGTCTCACAATCTTCAAATGACTAGAATATATACATATATATATATATATATATATATATATATATATATATATATATAGATAGATAGATAGATAGATAGATACAGTGGAACCTTGGTTTTCAAATTTAATTCATTCCTGAAGGCTGTTTGTGAACCAAAAAGTTAAAAAACTGAAACAATTTTCCCATAGGAATCAATGTAAGATGGATTAATTCATTCCTGGGCTCTAGATGATCGCCTATTCAAACTTTGACAACAGTATTTTGTGTTCATATGCAAGACCAATAAAAATCATTAGATCTAAAAAAAAAAAAAGTGAATAAAGAATAAAGCTGCATATAAATAAGAAAAGCAATTTTATTCATCCTTACTTGTGCTGAGGAGTCTTGATGGCACAGGTCGAGAGTAGAGAGGAGGTAGGAGGAAAGGGATGTTATTGTTTGGAAGGGGAGTCCCCCATCTCCTGGATTTTCTGTTTCTTGCTAACAGATTTTGCCTGGGACTCATTAGGTCTCTTTTTCACCAAAACCTTTCTATTGAAACTTGCTTTTGTCTCTGTTTCACAATGTTACAGAAGTGATATATGACACTGTCATTGAAAAGGTTACTGACACGGCTTGCTACTGCCTTATCAGGGTAATACATTTCAACAAAATTCACTTCACCCCATTTTGCACACATTTCTTTAATAAGAGCACTAGACACATTGCCCCTTCCCTCCTCTTCTTCCGAAGATATCCCCTCAAGCTCCTCCTTCTGCTGCTTCTTCTGAAGGAGTTTGGGTTTGTCAGTAGACAACTCGGTGCTGTATTCCTCCACCGACTCTTCAACCTCATTACTGTTGACTTCCAGGCCTATACTTTTGCCCTCAGTAGGCTGTGTCTCAAATCCCATGAAATCTTAGCATGAATACTCTGAGTGCAGGCTGAGGCAAGATTGGTTCCAATCATGCCACACGCTCAGTCACTCAGTGATCACATGCTGCATGCGTGTTGTTGTTGGTATGTTCGGCAACCAAGTTATGGTATGACAAACGGAGCAATTTTTAGTTTGAAATTTTATTTGACAACCAATTTGTTCAAAAAGGGAGCTGTTCAACAATCGAGGTTCCACTGTATATATATATATTGTGTATTTAAGCACCAATCCTTCATTTATATATGTTTCATTAAAGATGACATACAACGTACTGTAATTAAGCTTTTTATTTAATTTTTCTTGTGTTCAAACAAGTGTTTTCTTTTCTGGACACAGAGTGCATAGAAACTGTCCAAATGACTAGCAGAAACTCTTGCCACCTTAATTTTAAGAGTGAATGCCCACTCAGATACAAAATGGCAGTGATAAAAAAACTTCCTAAAGAGAGCATATGAGAATTCAATCTCTCATTTACTTTTCCTTAAAGAACTCAACAATGTAAAACAGACATTATTTGACATTGGTTTTCGTAACCACCTCATCGACCACCAGATTAGACTATTTCTTTCCAAAGTAAATAATAACAATACTGAACACACAGACAAAAATAATATAAATATTTTCTACAAAAGTCAAATATACATCAACTATAAACAAAATGAATCTTCACTTAGAAATATAAAGAAATACACTACCCCAATTGACTTGAAAAAAAAAATTAAATTATCAAGTACAAAAATTTAAAACAGCTAACCTTATTCTCAAAAATAGCAACACACCCACAAAATCAAAACTACAAAGAATGAACATTATTTACGAGTTCAAATGTCCCTTAAGGAACTGTGTTCCTGATAAAACTGACCACATAAATAATTTTTTATGCGGTCAGTTTTATCAGTTCCTTAAGGGGCATTTGAACTCGTAATGTAGTAACATAAGTCATCTGAATAGGTATGTAGTAGGGTGACCAATGTAATTGGTCACCCTACTACAGGCCTATTCAGATGACTTATGTTACACCTATCCAACCACAGCTTCATCAGAACTCATTTAAATACACACAAAAAAACTTACCAGTCTCCATCCAAAACATACTTGTAGAAAATACAAGCATAATGCATTCATAATCATTCACACACACACACACACATATATAAAAGAGTAGTGAAGCTTGGCTATTGCTTTGGATATCTTAAAAAGCATTTGACATACAGGTCTTCTTTACGATTTGAAAAGTTAGTCCCTGGTCAAATTTTTGAACTGATCGTCTTTCTTATCAAATTGTGAAATGAAAGTTATTTTCAATGGTCACTCTTCTAGATCTTTTTGTACTAAAAGCAGGTATCCCCCATTTCATTAATGATCTTCCTGATGACATCACCTTTCAACTTTGTATCTATGCTAATGACACAAATATTTACTTTTAATAATAAGTTTGATCAGTTCAAATTGGCAAATCAGGTCACAAACCACTTTCAGTCTGTTGTTAACAATAGCAAAGAATGGCTTGGTAATTTTAACACCTCCAATAATAAACTGCTTTTTATTAATCATCTGAGAGACCCATTTCTGCCTTCCATCAACATAGCTGATGCTAACTTCCAGGAAAGTGACTCGTTGCACCTTCTCAGGCTGATATGTAGTAGAAAGACTATATTGAATCCATTGCTAGGTGCTAAGAATGTCGGATCATTGTGTCGTGCTAACAATTTTTCTTGCCAGAATCTATGTTACATACCTATAAGTCTACCATTTGTTCATGCTTAGAATATTGCGGTTGTATATATGGTTTGGTGCTCCTGATATATATTTAGAGATTCTCAACAAAATCCAAAGAAGAATCTATTAGTGGTCCTGACCTGGTGTCACTTTCCCACCACAGTAAATACTCTTTGTCAGGGTTCTATGCTAATAGTTTGTTTCTTGGACTTCTCAGTTGTGGAACTCTCTTCAGCTCCATGCTTTCCAGTTAACTTTAATCTTCAAAAATTTAAATGAAATGCCAATTGTTATCTACTGTCTTCCTGATTACTCTTCTATGGTTTTAGTTTTCTAATTCCTTCACATCCCTTTATGTCTTAATGGCTTTACTACCAAGCTTGGAATGATTTCGATAGAAACAATATATATATATATATATATATATATATATATATATAATTTATAATAGCTCATATATATATATATGTATGTACATATATATATATATATATATAAATGTATGTATATATGTATATATATAAATATGTATGTGCATATATATGTATGTATATATATATGTATGTATGTGTATGTATATATATATATATATATATATATATATATATATATATATATATATATAACTCATAATAATTCATAAATATGGTGGACTCTTCCGTTGTATTCAATGTATGAGGGTCAAGCAATGCAGTTCCTAGGAACTGACAGCCAGACACCAGCACATATGATCTGATTATAGTGCCGAAAGCTTTGTGCAGAACCAACCACACTTTTTGAAGGGCCGAATACAGAGACTTGGTACACTACATGCTACAAGATCCCCAAAAGACCTTCTGCAGGTTTTGAATTCAGAGTTTTCCTTCTCCTAGACCAGTTGCCATCCAAGGCTATAGAACCCAGTCTGTCCTGCTATTTACCCATTCTTTCAAACGTTTTTAAATAAAATTATAAAAATATCCTCCCACATTGTATATTTTTAAATTAAAAGTGAAAATAACCTATAATTTTTTTCTTTATAATTAATATAAACAAAAATAAAAATATCCTTTTCTTTATTTTCAAGAAAGGAACTATTTTTAAAGTGATGCTAATGACACAACAAACCGAAAATAAGGTTTCCATACCTGTAACCGTCCATAATCATAGAGTGTAAAGGTGTCTGAGTTGTAAGGTTGATTATTTTCTACACTGTAGGAGAAAATTGTTCCCATGCTGCTTACATCCAGTGTTCGCATCCAGAAGCATACACTGATCTCTTCAGGATTAGGAAACATCCTTAGGTGAACATAGTCTTTGGTAGACTGTTGTTGGAATACCAAATCAAAATCAGCACTGATTTCTGGAGAAGAAACAAAAATCCTATTAATATTTCTATTTTTTTTCTTGAATTGCAGATCAAATTATAAAAAAAATTAAGTTTTAAAACTGGAAAAATCATAATTATATTTTTAATAAAATGTTTATTTTAATATTTGTTATGTTTTTTTTATGTTTGTACTTTTTCTTTGCTTTTTTTTCTTTTCTTTATAGTTCCATTTTTTCTCTTCTGTTTGTTTCTTTCTTGTATTAATTTTTTTAACACTTTAAAAAAATAGTTAATGCTCTGAGAAACCAATATCTTTGGGAAATTGGAAATTAAATTAATGAAGCCAAACTGTATAGATTATATACTGAAATGTGGAGAAAAATAAAAAATCACAATATCATAGAAAATATGAATCAAACAGAAGAAATGCCTTAGTCATCACTTGACATTGCCTCACTAGATTGAATTATGATTGAGTAGTGATTTCAATCCTCACTGAGTGCTCAACACTTTAGGCTTTGTTCCACATCTAAGCTACGCTTAGAAAATCATTGGGTACTTCAACATGGTATAATGGTTAGCAAGCTTGTCTTGATAGTTCAGTTATAACTGAATAGTGAGTTTGATCATCACTGGGTGCTCCATACTTTTGGCCTTATGCCACCATCACTTGGCATTGAGACAGAACTTTTGAAAGTAGCATACCCTTTCTCTGAATTTAAAAACAAGTTTCTCAGTTTCACAAAGGAAGTTTGAAATCAGAGGTGCACATCCCAAAGCAGGGGAATATAGCCTGCATTAATGCAAAATAAATAAATAAATAAATAAAACAAAAAGGTTGTCCTCAAGATACTCAAGAGATATCTCAATTGGTTCTATTATGGTGAAACTAATAATGAACATTGTATTAACTAGATTCCCATTATTCTATGAAAGTCAACTTCTAACAAAACCCAATTTGACTTTTGTTCTGGAAAGGAGTGTAATGTCATATATGTCATCAAACAATTTCAAGAAATTATATACCTTTATAATAGAAAATTCTATACCTGCTATGTTGTTCTCACAGCAGCATATGACCACATCAATAGACTTTTTCCTCTCATACATTAGAAACCACCTTCCATACTCAGACTCAACTAAATGTCTAGATTTGATAGAACTATATTGGTTCATAAAGTTGTACATGTTGAGGATCCCAATACCAATACATTTTAAACCTCATCAGGGTATGACTAGGAGGAAATGAGAGCCCCAGTCTATTTAATCTTTACCAAGATGTATGATTTGTGTATATACAAACACAGATGTGAAGAGATGGGCATTGATGATTTAAGCATTCCATACCACATCGCAAATAAATATACTAATAGAAATATGCTACAGAATCACAAAGAACTACCTTATAACAGAAACCCTATCACTTTCAACATCAGGAACAACTAAAATGGATAGCACATGTAACTCAAAGAGAAAATAATGATATAATTAAGATGCTGATATTCCACACTACTTCAAAAATAAAGCTAGGAAGGAAACTCCCATCAATACTGGAAATAATTAGTGAATTTTAAAAAGGTCTTTTCGTGAAAAATTGTTTTAATCGAAAGATTTTGTAAATTCAAATGATAGTAACACTGGCTGCTCAGTCAATGAATGCTGAATGTTTCCTTATAAGGAAATGGTTAATACTACCAATACCAAACTATAACCATACATTTACATCAGTTGCAATTAAGACAATTTCTATTAATCTAGTGTAAGGAAGTGAAAGTATTCACAGGTGGAGTTAATTTACTGCATTTTATGACCCAAAAATATGCAGAAAAATGACTGTCTGAATAATTTATATCTTTTTATTTTGTACTCTACAAGATGTGATTTAAAAGTAAGATGAAATGCAAAAACCATAAAAAAGAAATCTTGTAATTTAGAAACATTTACTTTACGGCAGTGAATTTAATTTTATCAATTTATAAAATAATCATCATAAGCCATGTCTAATTATACTTTTATGGAAAGTATAAATTATTATATAAATTATTTTAAAGAAGTCAATATTTTCTTTGCTTATTCTGCATTTGCCTAAATTATCAATATACCATTAATGTGTATAAATTTCTAAGAGTAGAAATGATTATTATTAAACATCAATTCTTGGTTGCTATAGTCACAAAGTTTTCATTATTGTACCCTTGTACCTGCTGTATTTAGTAATTTTAAACCAATTTATTTATCCTGTATATGGTTTGACTATTCTCAATCTACTGTCTGTGCTAGAGAATATCTTGTACCAACAAGATATTTTTAAATTTTGAGAATGTTATTGAATATGACAAGCATCTGAAGAAGGCTAGAGGGTGTAGTGAGTACAAAATAATAACTCCTTTAATCCACTTCAAATTTGGGTGAGCTGAGGAAAAAGATGGAAAGGAATTCACAAAACTATGAAAAGCTTGCCTTCACAGGGATTGACCAGCAAGCTAAGTAGAAGAGGGAAATAAATTTGCAAGCCTATGTGAAATTGTTTTGGATCAATGAAAACCTTGTCTTCATAGAAATTAGCTATCGAGTCAAGAAGAAGACAGAAAAGAATATACCAAGCCTATAAGAAATTTCTTTTTATATAAAATGAGGAGAAAAATTAAGTTAATAAGAGAAGACTGTGTGAATTTATGTGAAAGCTTTTGTTTCTGTTCTCTACATCCAGAGTTTTTGCCAAACAGTTTTCTTTCAACAATCCAAGAAAGCTAAATATTTCAAACTATCTCTCTTTGTCTAGTTTTGAACGTATGCAAATCATATATTCCTTCACTGAGCAACAAACTCTCTTACCTTTGTTTTAAGCATTCTTGAGTATTATTATGTTTCCAATCTGTTGTGTGAACATTTCCTCTTCGAGACAATACATTAAAACTAAGGATTTCAAAAATTTCTGATTTATTTACTGAAACAATCTACTGAAACTTCAAGCATGTGAATCTGTAAATAAATTCCTTATCCTGTTTTGTTAAAATTACTTCTGTGTTTCCTTGTCATTATGATTCTCCATTACTCTTCTTAGCATGGACAAATCAACTGTTCATTTTAACCCCTAAGCCCACACCACTATAACGGTATAACAGACTTGTGACTTTAACATCAAAGAGAGAAAATGATTTCAATAAATCAGGATGGGAACTGAATGACAAAATGGAAAAAAATCTTATGTTATGCTTTTCATCCTCTGTAAGAACTTCTTCAGAATAATAATCATTTTAACAATGGAATCCTATATATGCAGGAGAAGGTAGCAACATGCAACAAACATCAGCTATAATTCTACAACAAGAAATGCTTAAGATACTGTTGGGGCGCACCCACCTTCTCATCAGAATGGACTGATCTCTCTACTACTAATTGGACAGTTCTATAGAGATCTGGGAAGATCAGGTGACCATTGTCAACCATTTGCAGCTTGTCCTGTCTCGTCTGATTGGCCCGGAACAGACTTGTGCTATGAAGGGCAGGACTATTCAGGATAACCTTCATATGGTACGCTTGATCTTAGAACAAGTCGACAGAGAAGCCGCGCTGATTAATTTAGATCAGTCCAAGGCCTCCGATAGGGTTGACCATCGCTTTCTGGAGGCTGTCCTTTCAGCAGCCGGTTTCAGAGCCGATTTTCGCTCCTGGATCCGACTTTTGTATGCGACCCCCGGTGCGCTGGTAGACGTGAATGGGGTAAGATCAAAGCCTTTCGTATTGTCTCGCTCCATTCGTCAAGGTTGTCCGCTCTCGCCTTTGCTTTACGTTCTTGTGTTAGAACCATTCCTTCGCAAATTAAAGGCGAATCTGGTCCTGCGCGGAATTTCCTTGCCTGGGGCTTCCACCTCAGCCAGGTATTCTGCCTATGCTGACGACGTTTCGGTTCTTGTGTCAAGCAGAACCGAGATTGACGAAGTCAGCAAAGAGATCAGTGGCTATGAGATGGTGACAGGGGCCAAGATCAACCGCGATAAGTCTGTGGGCTTGCGGTTGGGTGCGTGGAAGGGAGTTTCTCTTCCCGGACCGTTCCTCTGGATGGATGGGCCGATCTCAGCGTCTGGTTCGGTCCTGATCTCCAGTTGGAAATGAACTGGTCGGAGGTACAAGGGAAGGCCGAGATCGCGGTTAATCTGTGGTCTCGGAGGAGACTTTCCTGAACGGAAGGGAAATCAGTTTGTGTTTCACACATCTATCCGATTCTCCTGTACCGACTCTCTGTACTTCCACTCCCGTATGCCAGACTAATTTTATTAGTACGGACCTTGTTCTCTTTCTTGTGGAGAGACAAGGCCCATATGGTATCTCGCGAGATCTGTTGCCTTCATCCCTCTGAGGGCGGTCTGGGTATGCCTAGCATTGAGATTCGTCAACATATGCTTCGCATTACCTTTATAGACCGAATGTGTCGCAGTTCGCATGAGGTGGGCACCTTTTGGAAAGAAGACGTCCGAAGACATTTCCCATCCCTGAGAAGTGTGCACTCGTGCGAGGAGGAGGCCGGCCGTACACCCCGAGCCGAGTGCTCTTTCTACCGCGAATGTCGTCATGCTCTGAAACTCCTCTTACGGACGTCGGATGGCCTCTCCGACGCACAGGCGTTGTCTCGTAAGGCATTGTATCGACTGTTAGTTAGGGGAGCCGTTCAAGATGATCTGATTGGCGAGCTCGGTCTTACGAAGCAGGAGGCTCGCTATTATGGCCTTGGGCGCCTGGGTTGAAATATCTCAATAATGATGAGGCATCACTCACCTGGCTGATGATTCATTGGGCCCTCCTGGTCGGCAAGAGACTTTGTTCAGCAGGCTTTAAAGAAATATCCAAACTGTCGTCACTGTATCTGGGGAAGTCGAGACCATTGGTCACGCCTTTTTTCAGTGCAAGACGGTAGTGCCGTTGTGCAGGTTTGTTGAAGGCCTCATGGTTCACATGCTGCAGGGAAATTTTTTTGTCCTGGAAGCCAGTTCTGTTTGTAGCAATGTGGTGCCGCAATTGACGAAGGCTGAACA